TCAGGATACAACAACAATAAACAGAAAAAAAAATTATTTCTATATAATTGCAAGGAATATTTAAAATAAAGATTTTTAAAATTACTTCATTAGTCTATAGTAACATAGTAATTTCACACTGCTGATAAAAACATACCCGAGACAGGGGCATTTATTTTTAAAAAAGAAAGAAAGAAAAGAAATTTAATAGACTCAGTATCATGTGGCTGGCAAGGCTTCACAATCATGGTGGAAGGTGAAAAGCACATCTTACTTGACGGCAAGTAAGAGAGAGAATGAGATGAAAGCAAAAGGGGTTTCCCTTATAAGACCATCAAATCTCATGAGACTTATTCACTACTTTCACTACCATGTGAACAGTATGGGGGAAACAGCTTCCATGATTCATTTATCTCCCACTTGGTCCCTCCCGCAACCCACAGGAATTATGGGAGCTACAATTCATGATGACAACTGGGCGAAGATGCAACCAAATTATATTATTCTGACCCTGGCCCCTTCCAAATCTCATGTCCTCTCATTTCAAAACATAGTCATGCCTTGCCAACAGTTCCCCAAAGTCTTAAATCATTTCAGCCTTAACTCAAAAGTCCATACTCCGAAGTCTCATACAAAACGAGGCAGGTCCTTTCCACCTATGAGCCTTTAAAGTCAATGGCAATTTAGTTACTTCCTAGATAGAATTGGGGTACCAGCATTGGATAAATGCATCCATTCCGAATGGGAGATATTGGCCAAACAAAGAGGTTAAAGGCCCTGTGCAAGTCCAAAATCTTGCAGGGCAGTCACTTAAAGCCCCAAAATGATCTTGTTTGACTCTATGTCTTATATCCAGGTCCCATTGAAACAAGAGGTGGGTTCCCATGGTCTTGGGCAGCTCCACTCCTGTGTCTTTGCAGGGTACAGCCTCCCTTCAAGCTGCTTTCACAGGCTACCATTGAATGCCTGCGGTTCTTCCAGGTGCATGGTCCAAGCTGTTGGTAGATCTACCATTCTGGGATCTGGAGGATGGTAAACCTCTTTTCACAGGTCCACTAGGCAGTGCCCCAGTGGAGACTCTGTATAGGGCCTCCAATCCCACATTTCCCTTCTTTGCTGCAAAGCAGAGATTCTCCATGATGGCACCACCCCTGCAGAACACCTCTGCCTGGACAGCCAGGCATTTCCTTACACCTTCTGAAATCTAGGTGGGGGTTCCCAAACCTCAATTTTCTACTTCTGTGAGGCTCAACACCAGGTGGAAGCTGCCAAGACTTGGGACTTTCACCTATGAAGCCATTGCCCAGGCTGTGTCTTGGCCCTTTTTAGCTATGGGTGGAGCATCTTGGTTGCAGGGCACTGAGTCCCTAAGCTGCACACAGCAGGAGGGCCCTAGGTGAGTCCCACAAAACCATTTTTCCCTTTTAGGCCTCCAGGTCTATGATTAGACTGGCTACCGCGAGGTTTCTTATGTGCCTTGGAGACATTTTCTCCATTGTCTTGGCAATTAACATTTGGATCCTCATTACTTATGCAAATTTCTGCAGCCGGTTTGAATTTCTTAGCAGAAAATGTTTTTCTCTTCTACCACATAAGCAGCAAATTTTCTAAATTTTTATGTTCTCTTTCACACTTGAGACTGAGTTTTGTTTTGTTTTTGTTTTTGTTTTTGTTTTGTTTTTTTGATGGAGTCTCACTCTGTCACCCATCTGTCCCAATATCTGTCACCCAGATGTCTCAACATCTGGCACGATGTTGGCTCACGGCAACCTCCACCTCCCAGGTTCAAGCGATTCTCCTGCCACAGCCTCCCTAGTAGCTGAGATTACAGATATGTGCCACCACACCCAGCTAATTTTATATTTTTAGGAGAAACAGGGCTTTGCCATGTTGGCCAGGCTGGTCTGAACTTCTGACCTCAAGTGATTCACCTGCCTCAGCCTTCCAAAGTGCTGGGATTACAAGTGTGAGCCACCATGCTTGGCCTTAAAACTGAATGCTTTGTAAGCACCAAAGTCACCTCTTGAATGCTTTGCTGTTTTGAAATTTCTTCTGCAAGATACTCTAAATCACCTCTCTCAAGTTCAAAGTTCCACAAGTCTCTAGGGCAGGGGCAAAATGTCTCCAGTATCTTTCCTAAAACATAGCAAGAGTCACCTTTAATCCAGTTCCCAAAAAGTTCCTCATCTCCATCTGAGACTACTGCAGCCTGGATTTCATTGTCCATATCAGCATCAGCATTTTAGTCAAAATCATTTTACAACTCTCTAGGAAGTTACAAACTTTCCCACATTTTCATGTCTTTCTCTGAGCCCTCCAAACTGTGCCAACCTCTGCCTGTTACATAGTTTCAAAGTCACTTCCACATTTTCAGATATTTTACAGCAGCCCCCTACTTTACTGGTACCAATTTACTGCATTAGTCTGTTTTCATACTGCTGACAAAGGCATACCTGAGACTGGGTAATTTAAAAGAAAAAGAGATTTAACAGACTCAAAGTTCTAAGAGGCTGGGGAAACTTAACAATCATGGATGAGGGTGAAAGTTACATCTTACATGGCAGCAGGCAAGAGACAGAATGAGAACCAAGCCAAAGGGTTTTTCCCTTCTTAAACCATCAGATCTCATGAGATTACTTATTCACTACCAGGAGGACAGTATGGGAGAAACCACTTCCATAATACAATTATCTCCAACCAGGTCCCTTGTATAATATGTGGGGATTATAGGAGCTACAATTCAAGAAGGAATTTGAGTGGGAACACAAACCATATCAATCACCCTTAAAATAATGCCAAAGAATATAATTATTAGAAATAAATTTAAGAAAAAGAGGGTAAAACATGCACTGTGGAATCTGCAGAACACTATATTAGAAATAAATTAATGACACGTAAATAAATGAAAAGGCTTCCTGTGTTCATGCACAGAAACACCTAATCTTTTGCCATTTTCTACTCCCCAAATTGACATACAGATTCAATGCAATTCATATCAAAATTCCAGATAACTACTTTGCATAAATTGACAAGGTGATTCTAAAATTGATAATGATATTGAAACAATATAGTAATAGCCCAAACAAGCCAGGTGTGGTTGCATGCACCTATAGTTCCAGCTACTTGTAAGACTGAGAGTTGCTTCAGCCTAGGACTTCAAGTACAGCCTGGACAATATAGTGAGACCCCTGCCTCTTAACAAAAAGGAAGAAGAGGAAAACAAACAAAAGAAATAGCCGAAACAATTTAAAGTAAAAAACAAAGTTGAAAGACTTATACTTCCTGCTTTTAAAGACAAATACAAATATACAAGAATCAAAAGAATGGTATAAATATATACAGAGAGATATATAGATCATTGCAATAGAATTTAGAATCCAGAAATATATACACACATTTATGGTTTCTATCAAAAGCGTTAAACCAATTTAAAGAGGGAAAGAATGTATTAATAAATGTAAGTGGGAAAACTGATTATCCCCATACAAAAGACATGTACCAGGCCCCCTACCTCAAACCGCTTACATAAATTAACTCAAAATAGATTTTTAAAACTTCAATGTAAGCACTTGAACTATAAAACTCATAATAAAACACAGGGGCTAATTTGGGGGACTCTGGATTTGGGAATGATTTCTTAGATATGACAACAAAAGTAAAAGCAACCAAATTAAAGTTGATTAAGTAGACCAAATCAAAATTAATACATCTGTGCTTCAATGGACACCATCAAGAGAGTAAAAAGACAACTCAAAGAAAAAGAGATATATTTGGAATCATGTATCTGATAAGAAACTAGTATTAAAAGCATACTAAAAAATGTTAATAAGAAGAAGCCAAATAATTTAATCAAATAATTGGAATAAAAATTTTTCCAAGAAAAATATACAATAGCTAATTAGTACATGAAAAACATGCTTAAAATCATTAAATATCAAGGAATCATAAACTGTAATGAGATACCACTTTACTCTCACTGATTATACTCAAAAGACATATAATAACAAGGGTTGGCAATGTTGGGGAGACATTGAAATCCTCATACATTGTTGGTGATAATATAAAATTATTCATCCCCTGTGAAAAAGTCTAGCAATTCCCCAACAGTTTACACATACATCTACCACGTAATTCAGTAATTGCCTTTCTAGGTATATACCCAAGAAGAATAAAAACATGTCCACAGAAAGCATGTACATCAATGTTAATCAACACTATTTGTAATGACCAAAAGTGGAAGAAAATCAATATCTATCAACTGATAAATTAATAAATTGCATGTATAAATGGCATCTGATACTATTTGGCAATACAAATGAAGTCCTTATGTACCCTATACCATGGATGGACCTTTAAAACATTAAACTAAATAAAAGAAGTCAGTCACAAAAGATCACATATTATATAGTTTCATTTACTTTTAAAAATATCCTGAATAGGCTAATTTATAGAGGCAGAAATTAGATTACTGGTTGCCCAGGGCAGGATGGATGCAGAAATTCAGGTGGGAGATAAGAGGTAATATACAGGATTTTTTTTTAGATAAAACTGATTGTTGTGTTGGATACGGTCTGTGAATTTACCAGGAAACCCTGAATTTTACATAATAATTGGTGAATCATATGGTATGTGAATTATACTTCAACAAAGTTTTGCAAGATATTTCTTGAATCACGATATTAAAAAATACTGTTCGTGTTGTACAATTACTTCATCTCTTCTTCTGTGTCAAGAGGACTGCAGGACTTTCTCAACTGCCACTGTTCTTCACACTATTATAAAATATATTACATAAAACAGGGTGCTTTTAAGGTCATTAATCTTAAGTAGACGGTAGCAAATGTAAACATAAAAGAAACATTAAACATCCTTCGGTAAATATGAGGTAATCAAACTTTTGTTTGTCTCCTTGCCATCCATGTACTCAGGCTGTTCATATAATGTATTTACTTTGAATTGAAGGAGTTATATTTTAACTTGATTGATTTATCTCTGTATATAAGCATGAGAAAGAAACAGTGACTGGAAAATAATTATCGCATTGCACCAAGATGGCTCTGAAATGGATTTCAGTTCTTCTGCTGATACAATTCAGTTGCTACTTTAGCTCTGGGAGTTGTGGAAAGGTGCTGGTGTGGCCCATGGAATACAGCCACTGGATAAATATGAAGACAATCCTGGATAAACTTGTTAGCAGAGGCCATGAGGTGACTGTGTTGGCATCTTCAGCTTCCATTCTTGTTGATTCCAGTGAATCATCTGCTATTAAATTTGAAGTTTATCCTGCATCTTTAACTAAAAATGATTTTGAGAATGTTTTTTCGAAACTAATTGCTGGATGGATATACAATAGTCCAAAATATACATTCTGGGAATATTTTTCACGAGTACAAGAAATGTTGTGGAAATATGGTAACTGTATTAAAAAATTCTGTGAAGATTTAGTTTTGAACAAGAGACTTATGACAAAATTACAAGAGTCAAAGTTTGATGTTGTTCTTGCGGATGCCATTGGTCCCTGTGGTGAGCTGCTGGCCGAACTTCTTAAAGTACCTTTTGTGTATAGTCTCCGCTTCTCTCCCGGATATGTACTTGAGAAGCATAGTGGAAGACTTCTATTCCCATCTTCCTATGTGCCTATTGTTATGTCAGAATTAAGTGATCAAATGACATTTGTAGAGAGGGTAAAAAACATGATATATGTGCTTTATTTTGACTTTTGGTTTCAAATATTTGATTTAAAGAACTGGGACCAGTTTTACAGTGATGTTCTAGGTAAGTCATGTATTTAATTGGTGATTATTAAGTCCTAGCTTTCTTTATGCCTTTGAAGGTGAACTTATATAAAGTCAGAGAAGAGTGTTCTTTTAAGTGAAGTAATGAAATGAAAATATTAATCTCACAAATACTATGAAAAGACTGACACTAAAGGATCAGTTTGAACCCTATAACTTTGACTCCTCCAGGCACTCTAGAAGTCATAAAACTGCAAAGTAAAGCACTTATGATTTATTTAAGCAAACACATATCCACTTTACTATGTTATTTTTATATTTTTAAAAAGTCAATAGATACATCAAGAAACCTCCTGATAAAGACAAACATGTAGATTGAAAAGTTACACATATTTCTAGCACAACTATCAAAGCAACATTGAGGAAGCTGTTTCTCTTTGTGCACCTCAGTTTCCTTCTTTAGAAATTAGAATCTGTTTTCACATAAAGGATTTTTTCACAGTTTAGAGATATACTGGCTCTATTCTAGAAATAAAAAACAGAACTTGAGGTTTGTAATGTTTATACATGCTTTCATTAACAGCTTAGAAAGTGTTTCAAGGATTGAAATCGTCAAAGTGAAAATTCAAAAGTTTAATCTGTATTTCATTAAATAACATCCCTTCATTAAGGAAGATTCAAGCCAAGTTACAAGGGAGCATCAATCTCTATTTCAATAATTTCTGAAAACGTTTCAGCTGTTATTTGTAAATATATTTATTTTCAAAAAGTAATATTAATAAGATCTTAACAAGAACCAAGAGCAATAATAGGTATTTCAACCATACACAAGGATTTCAACCATACTCAAAAAACTCACAGTTCACTTGGAGAACCAAAGATCAAGGGACTAGTGTAATAAATTATAGAAACTAGACTGAGTATTACTTAGAAAGCTGTTTTTATGGTACGGTAAGATGACTTCCTTTTGGAGCTCAACGATTTGTTTAAACATGTATTTGTTACCTTTGCTGTTTCAGAGAGGAAACAAGTGCATATTTAAGCCCATAGTGGCTAATTTTAATGATTATTTCTGATTGGGAATATACTAAATTATGTTAAAAATGTAGCTTCCTCTCACAGTTCTCTGAACACTTTGCCTTCCTTATATATACATACGAGCATCATATGCAACACATGAAAATTAAATTATGCCTATATATAAAAATATATGTATACATTTATCAATGCACAGGTATTTTACATATCTTTGGTTACAGTTTTCCAAATCATTTCAGGAAAATATCTATATATTCACATGACACTTCTCTTGTGTCAGTTACCTTTTTTTGTTGTTGTTTTTTGGATTTTTTCCCCCATTAGGAAGACCCACTACATTATTTGAGACGATGGGGAAAGCGGAAATGTGGCTTTTTCGAACCTACTGGGATTTTGAATTTCCTCGCCCAATCTTGCCGAATGTTGATTTTGTTGGAGGACTCCACTGTAAACCAGCCAAACCCCTGCCTAAGGTGAATACATTCCAGTTTGATTTGATAGCTTTGCATTTTCAGAAAAAATCGCTACAAATTTTTCAGTCAGAGTGTTTGACTCACGGTGAGAGAAATATGGGAGGTCCAGTAGAATGTTCTTGCCGTTAGAAACTCGCTTATTTCTATCCCATTACAACTATGTGAACTTCATTATTAATAAACAACAAGGAGGGATACTGGGGAGACTTTGAAAACAGACTTGGTTAAACTAAAGGCTTCATAATGCAACACAAAAGAATGTATGAGTAAATCTACTAAAGAGTATTTATAAGGTGATCACCACATACTACAGGCTGGTGCTGGATTTTTAGAGAATAAATGTAGACATAGTTTCTGCTCCCTCATGCCTTACATTCCACTTTGAAAGATAGGATATAAGCAAATAAAAAAGAAAACTCTAAAAGTTATTATGAGGGAACACCAGAATCCTAAGAGAATATCCAGAAGAGATTCCAAAGTCACTGATAATTAAAGTGAATCCTCAACAATGTGCTACACAGGTGAGAGGATGATGGGGAGAGGAAGAAAAGGAAAGCGTTTGGAGAAGTAAGGGCAGTTCCTAGGACTCCAAAATTTCTTTGCAGAAAAAGACTGGGTAAAAAGACAGATGATGCAGGGGAGGTAAGTTGTATCTTGATAATTATGAGTTAAAAATATCTATAAAGTGCAATGAGGAGCTACTGAAAAGTGTTAATAAATGAAGTGAGATAATTAGATTTTGTTTTTTTAAAAAAAAGCTCCCAAGATGTTCAATGAATTAGACTGCAGAAAGGCCAGACTGTGAAAAGTGCAGATCATCCAGGAAATTTTGCATGAATGTAAGCAATAGATAAAGGAAAAATGGACTGGAATTTTGATAGAGATTATTATGCCTGCTTTTACAATATTAGCACTAACTTCATACTGTTTTATGTGGAAAAGTTTTTAATGCAGATAAAACACTTTGTCTCTGGCATATAGTCACCCAGAAATATTATTAACATGGTAATTATTGTGATTTTTTATTATTACTTCTGATACTATCAACTAGCTAACATGTGACAGCCACTTGAGATATAATTTCTCATTTAATAGGGCCTGGTTTTCCAACAAATAAAGATTATATTCACCAGCAAACTTCTAGAGAACAGATGTCCTGTGGACTTGTTTAAATGTAGATGCTTAAGTTTGGGCAGTCAGACGAACGAGCTGAAATGTTAAAGTTGTTTTTTAAGAGTTGAGGCTCTTCACCAGTATTCTAGCTTAAATTGTTTACCATTTCACAACAGTTTAAATTTGTGCCCTGAATATATTTACAGCCACATCCAATGTTTACTTGCTTTCACCCCAGCATTTAAGCCATTTGTCACTGAGATCCCAGAGGTCTACATCTTAGGACATAAAAGTGTCAGTTTATCCTATAGGAGCTGGTGCTTTCTGCCTTATGCCAAGCCTGTAGGATACATCAGTAAAGCTCACTGGAGAACCTGGGTCTCAACATTGTAGCTGCCTGAAAGAGAAGCACAGAGGAAATGAATAGTGCATGTATAATAAAGACGATAATGTCAACCACATGTTTCTGAAAACTGCTCTTAGATTTAAATTACAAAAGAATTCTGTCAGAATATAGCATGATATTCCTTATGAAGGAACACAAAAATGGGATATATTTTACTTTAAGATCATTCTCTTAAGACATAAATAGAAAGCAATCATTCTTTACTACATTATTATATAATCTCTTAAGAGATTCATTTTGCCTACCTTCTTACTAGAAGCGACATAAACCTGAAATCTTTGTCAAGATAAAATACAATAATAATGTTGAATAAAAATTGCTTAAGTTCTATATGGTAACTTTCTCAAGGGACAAAAGCAGAGGTAAAATTAATGAAAATTCCATGAACTCTCCAATTGTTATTATTATCTCATATTATTCTCAAAAAATTAACTATTAACTTTAAAGAAAATTGATAGTGCCAGTAGAAACTAAAGAGAGCAGGTGGAGAAGGAGGACAAGGGCAAGAATGACTACTAGTACAAAAGTGATCATTACTACCACTAGCTGTTATTAACTTGCAGAATGAAGATTTGAATTTAGGTCAATAGTTGTGAAACTTGTCTTTAATTCTTTACTACATAAAATAATTATTACTCTAAATTTCTTGCCTTTCCATTAAGTATTAGAGTCTCAGATAATTTTTATGTATTTTAAAAGAATAAGACACTTGGTAAAAAGTATCAAGTGTTTTAAAATACATACAGCCATTGGCTTTACAATGTACTCACATGAAACTATACAAAGGAAAACTAAGTCATGATGGACAAATTCAATATTTGTGGCAGATACAAAATAAACAGTAGTAGTAATTTAAATATAAGAAATGTTTAATAACTTATCCAGTGTGCAAACCAAGCAATTACAATCATTTCACTGAAAGCCATAATATAAATATAGTTGGAAATTGAGCAACAAAATGATGAATAAAACAAGACCACGATTTTTCTGTAGGATTAAAAGGTATAGCTAATAAAATTTAAATGTCCTAAATAAACATCTCATATATGTATTGAGTTATGTAAAAATAAAAAAGACCATAAAAAAGCATATACATTTTATATGGGGACTATTTCTAGACAGAGAGTAGGGGAGAAATTTATTTACTTTTTTAAAATTTTTATACTTTTAGAAAATTTCTTACATTCATCTTATATTATTTTTACAAAGATTGCACAGAATAAGATCACTATGAATCTATAAACAGACATTTCATAACTTCAGAATACCTGGATGTCCCACGTATTATTTGGAATACTGTTAAAATGACTCTCATGTTAACAGTGATGTTATAAGGTTGAAATTATATTTTTGAAAAATACTTGTCAATATATGGTGTGCATGGACAAACTTCAGAAGTTTTATTCTTTGTTTGGTAAACAATAGTTATAAAAAGAAGGTTTACCTCAACGATTAAGATCTGAAAGTATAGTTGGTATGTTGGAAGTGGTTTGTCATTATTTTACAAAAAGAAAAAGTAGTAATAATAAATACAGATAAAAGGAACAACAACAACAAAAAGATAAGCATACAATTTTGACACACTATCCAGAAAACTTTTGGCTTTATATGCATTTCTTTCTTTCTTTTCTATGAGAATACCTATAACAATATGGAATTATAGAATGCATCTAAATTTAAAAATGGGAACATATTGTCACCCATGAGTCAGAATAATTATCAATCAATACTAAACAAACACATGTTCACCAGGGCTTTCTATAGTGTGAAGGAGCTACTCTAGAGAGTAAGCAAATTTCCACTGGAGAAAGGTCTGGTGGCCTTTCCACCTATCCTGATGGACTGTCCCAAGTGCTCCCTGTGAGACACAGTAAAATGATGATGAGGGTCCTTCAAAGACAGTTATAAGTAGCACATCAATTTATCAGTGTGATTTCAGGAAACAAGGTGTGAAAATCACACCTAAACAATGACCTGAGAAATATGATTACTCAATTATTTAACTACATGCTGCATAATTCAGTATTGTAAATGGGTTTCTTAGGATTACTTCACAGAAATTTCAAACCACAATACCAGACTCCACAATGTCAGTGATTCTTAAACTTCATATTTTAAAGGTGGTGTGTGTGTGTGTGTGTGTGTGTGTGTGCGCGCGCGTGTGTGTGTGTGTGTGTGGTGGATAGGGGAGTAGGAAGACAGAAACTAAGAGAAATTTCAAGTCAGGTATAAAGAATTTCATAGCTAAGGAAACATTGCTATAAATTCATTCCAGTTGTAACTTTTTCCCATTGCTCAAAGCCAGGTGTAATGGCTCCAATGACTTCTAACTAAAAGAATTCTAGAGGAAAATCTTCCTTTGACCACAAATATTTACTAGAACTACAATGATACAGAATTAAGACAAAGTAATGCCACCTTCCAAGAGTCTCTATTAGTAATTATAATGTCATAAATGAAGAGTCTATGTATAATATGTTCCAGCATTATTTTCTTCTACTACAGTATAATAGCTGTTTCATTTCTTTCTTATACATGCATACCTATATGTGTACACACTCATATTTATACAAATATGCATAATGGAGACCATCTGTCATATTACATGTCTCCTTTCAAAGAAACTGAGAAATTAGGCCAGTCAAAAACACAGCCAGTACCCCAAAATTCCTGATAATACTTAATTTTCTCTGCTTAGATGTTTGTAACAATTCCTTCAATAGTGCTTGCTGTGCTGACACTTTTGTGACGGAGCAAATTCTTTCTTCATAGGAAATGGAAGACTTTGTGCAGAGCTCTGGAGAAAATGGTATTGTGGTGTTTTCTCTGGGGTCAATTGTCGGTAACATCACAGAAGAAAGAGCCAATGTGATTGCGTCAGCTCTTGCTCAGATCCCACAAAAGGTTAAGTAAAGTGCTTTAATGGTGAACAGCTACTGAATGAGTCTACTAAACTGTAAAGAGTCCAGTTATCAAAATGTGCTGCCTACAACATTAAGTAATGGAATAGTTCTAATTATCTCAGATACGTGTTCAAAAATAAAAATATACATGGAAGATGTTAAAATAGCAAAGAGGAGAGTTTTCATTGATAATAACATTGGCATTAATATTGTGACAAGAAAGACAGAAATTTAAAAGGTGCACATGAAGTTTTGGTATTATCATGGTATTGTAGACATGCACATAGAAATCACCAAATTCTGCCCTGTCATTTTCTTCTTTTTCTTACAGAGTTCTTGAGGGCACTGTATACACTATAGATATTCCCAAAAAGGAGTTGCATGTTAATGAGTTACTGTACTATCACAATAACAATAAGCAGGCATTGAAAAAAGTCTGAAATGCATCATGCAGTTTAGGCTTGTCATGTAATCTGACCTCTTGTATTTTCTATACGTGTTGGAATAGCCCTATTTAGGGCGTTGTTCAGGATGCTATTCAGAAAAAGAATGTCCTAGACCAACAAACCACTACTCCAGGTACTCACCTCGCTGACAAAATTTAGAGAAATGGGAAAACATGCCTTGCCTGCTGGACTATGGCCTGCTAATGCCTTAAGCAGGAAAATGTAGAGGAATAGATGGAAATGGAATCCTGCTTTTAGGATAGATTCTGTACATTATAAAATATGGCCCCACAAAACCTCTGCTCTAACCACCAGTTAACACCTCCTCCAGATTGAGGAAAGAAAAAAGAATAAAAGAAGGAGACAAGCAGAAGGAAACCACTCATGGAAGGAGGTTCAGATGTCCCCACTCCATAAAATATAGTAGGAACTTATTTCCCAATACATAGAATACAGTTGCAATATTTCTGCGTTTGTGAGTTACTTTTTAATTTTCTAACTGACATAGTCTTCTAATGACCTATGCTAATTTTTTGTTGAAAACAAAAAGTTACTTTAACACTTACATAGCAAATACAAAGTAAACACTTGTAAATTATACTTTAGTATCAGGATTGCTTGGGAATTCTAAAATCAATTACCTTATTTTGGTAATTGGCATGGGAATGGCTTGGCTAAAGCAGACCATATTACTCAATGCTGTCATGCTTTGTAGTGCATCATTTAAATGTTAATGATCAGTTAAGCAAAATCTGGTAAAAATACACAATTTTATATACTTTCAGTAGCTATATTGTTATTCATGAATTGCAAACTGGCTTTTATTCCTATATTGAAAATACTTCCATAATTAGCAATGCTGATAATACTCTGAAAGTGTCAAAAATTGACACTTAAAATTTTTCTTGGAAGTACAGCAGGATAATTGTAAACTGAAAGAAGTTACACACACTACCTACATAGCATTAATTTATTTCTCACAAGTAGCTGATTTTATAGATGTAGTTTTTTGCAAATAAAAGATGTCAAACTCTAATAAACTAGTACATGTAAAATTCCATATCATTCAAAAATAAATTATTAAATTCAGAAGACGACAGCTAGAACAAATATATAAAATATATATATATAGGTCATTACTAATTAGTTACCGTTTTTTGCTCTAAAATTATAATGAATGTATATAACAATTTCTTGAATATTGAAATTTTTCATTGATAATCCAATGTGTCTAAGCTACAATGTTGGAAATACTATGATTTCCTAATATACCGAACATGTTTTAAAAAAAACAGTAATGACATGAAATGACAGTATTCAATTTACTTCATACTTTTAATGGTTTTCATTATTTAATATCTTGATCACATTTCTTCATATTTTTATATAAAAGGTATTTAACTAGCTGATTGTCAATCTCTTTAGAGTTCTAACATACTATAACTTTGGAGTTCTACTGATAGCACAAGATATTTTCTTCACCCTGACAGGTTCTATGGAGATTTGTTGGCAAGAAACCAAATACTTTAGGATCCAATACTCGACTGTACAAGTGGTTGCCCCAGAATGATCTTCTAGGTAAGAATCCAGAGAACAAATACTGAATATATAAATAACAGCCAATTAGAGTGATAATAGTTCAACATGAAACATGCTTCTTGAATATTTATTTTTGAAAAAATAAAATATTATTTATTTTCCATTCTTGTGAGGAAAAAGATAACTATAATAGTTTTCATTTTATTATATACGCTCACATTCTTTATTATTAGAATCAAAGTATTTTTATTTTAGGTGTAATTACCATTCATAGTTTCCCAATAACTTTCTGGGTTATCTGTCTCCTATTTCTACAACTTTATACCCATTCTTTCTAATACTACGGGGTTATTTCAAATGACATTGAAAAATAACAGTTGCTCTTCCATTACCACTGACTGCATTTTTTATGGGAATAAACCCCCAATCTTTATATAAAGTGACAACACATTTTATGATGAAGTGTGGCGTATGCTTCCTCTGTTCCAGCACCACCTCTACCCCACTCCCTGTTGCCTTGCACACCCAATATCACACTCAGTGACTGAACTATTTATTTAAGATAACATGTTCTTATATGCCCAATATTATTCTTCTATTTTTGCACATTTTAATGTTTTTATTCAAAATGTGTTTTATCATTTTGTCCACCTGGCAAGCTTAATTCATTTTTCCAGTCTGAAGTCACACACACCACTACCTCTTCAGGTAGTTATCACTTGTCTCTCCAGCAGAAGTGGGTTCTTCTTTCTCTGAAATCTAAAAGCATTTTCAATCCTGTTTTATGGGCATCCTAATATTATCTAGAGAATATTGTTCCTTTCAGTGCCTCATATTGATCATTTATTATGTTATTATTTACTTATAACTAATTATTTTGCTAAAATTTATTCAATCCTAGGTCACCCCAAAACCAAAGCTTTTATAACTCATGGTGGAGCCAATGGCATCTACGAGGCGATCTACCATGGGATCCCTATGGTGGGCCTTCCGTTGTTTGCGGATCAACCTGATAACATTGCTCATATGAAGGCCAAGGGTGCAGCTGTTGGAGTGGACTTCAACAGGATGTCCAGTACAGACTTGCTGAATGCACTGAAGACAGTAATTAATGATCCTTTGTGAGTATAACAATATTTTTCATTAGGTGGTATTTGTAGATGGTTTATCTCATCAGTAGTGAGTATCCTTTTTGTAAGAGACTGATTTTGGAAGAATTTAAATGATTTAACTACTGCTAAATCTGTTTTTATTTTCTACCAGATAATAATTTCAAAGTTACATTTGAAACTCATACATTCAATAGGTCAACAATTTCTACAACAACTATTCTATACAAAAATAATGTTAAAAAGGTTATTGTGAATACGGATTTTTTAAATTACAGAATATACAATAAAAAGGAACAATGAACTTGGAGAAAAATAATAAAATCTTAAATCAAATAAATAACAATTCTGAAATTATAACCTATTTGCCTTAAAAATTTATCATTATTATTTTAAGAAATATGATGGGATATAATTTACAAGCATAAAACTCACCTATTTAAAGTGTAAAATTTAAATGTATTTGATATGTTTAATTATGAATCCATCACCACAGTACAATTTTTGAACATTTTTATGACTCTAAAATAAAACTTATGATACATTAAGTCACTCTCCATAAATCTCTAGTCTAGGAAAATATTTATTTATTATCTTTCTCACTAAATTATACTCTCTATATATTCATATGAATGAAGTCATACAGTTTATGGTGTTTTGTAAATGACTTCTTTGACTTTTCATGTTTTTTTTCCAGTTTCATTCATGTTGTTGCACATATCAATACTTTGTTTCCTTTTTGTTTCTTTCTTTTTTTTTTTTTTGCTATATAATATTCTTTGGCATGAATACACCACTTTGAATTTATACACTTATCAAGTAATAAACACGTTAGCTATTTCAAATTTTTGCTCTCAGAAACATTGCTATGCACAGTTTTGTGTAAAAATAGGTTTTCCCTTCTTTTGAGGAGATACTAGAAGTGGAATTTTAAAGTAATTGGGGAACTTTACATGTATGTGGATGAAGAACTGCTAAACTGTTTTTCAAAGTACTTGCAGCATTCTTCAATAACACCAGCTATACAGGAGGGTTCCAATTTCTTCACACTATTCCCAAAACTTGTTATCACCTTTATTTTTATTATAGCCAGTCCAGTGAGTGTAAAGTGATCTCTCATTGTGGTCTTGATTTACATTTTCCTTCTGGCTAGAGATGTTAACCATCTTTTCATGCGCTTACTGACCATTCATATATCTTCTTTAGATAAATTTCTATTTCAATATTTTCAACATGTTGTAATTTTTTTTTTACTTATTGCTGAGTCATAAGAATTCTTTTTATATTATGAATATAATTTCTTATCAGATATATGATTTTCAAATATTTTCTTTCACTGTGGAGGGGTTGATTTTTTATATTTTTTACTTTCTTATAGATAAACTTTGAAGCACAAGTTTTTAATACTGAAAGAATAAAAGTGTAATAATTAATCTTTTCATACTCCAAAGGAAAAAATATAGAAAATGCTATGTCTAGACCAGCTACCATTAATTCATAATTTATTACTGCTATCAAAATTTTTGTTAAAGAGGTACCACATAAAGGAATATCTTAAAATACTTTACACAGAAAATAGTAAGACAATGAATGATTAAAAGTTCTTTAAAACAAATAGGAAATAACTGAAAAAAAAAAAGACAAGATGGAAAATGAAAAATACAAAATAAGATGGTAGATTTAAATGAATCTACCAGTACTCAGATTACATTTAAACAGACAAAAGAAGACAAAATAATGATTAAGGAAATAAAAGTTTTGAAGAGCACAATTAAATGTAATGTGATATATATGTATAAACCTTTATATGTAGTATAAAAACGTGAATATATATATACACACATTCATACACATGTGTGTGTGTGTGTGTGTGTGTACTGGAAATAAACATTTGTTTAGGAGTATATGAAGTAGTTACCTGAACTGATCACATCCTGGGCTAAAACTCACAACTCACTAAGTTTGTTAAGATTCAAAGTCATAAATAAGGCCTAGCTATACTAGAAATAAATTAAAAATCTTACAAAGAATGACAACTAAAAAGTTCTTCAAATTTTAGAAATCAAAAATACATTTTAAAAAATGTAGTCAACAAAATGTTATAATTATATGTGCACCTTTATCTCAGCAACTCTTCTCCCAACTATATACCCAACAAAAATTAATATGTAAATTTAATGACATATATATAAATGTATTTATACAAGAATAATTAATAGTATCCAAAAATGTAAACAACCCGTGTCCATCAATTATTAAATAAATAGATACTCTGAGATATTTGTCAATCAACTGAATACTATACAGCAATGGAATTAACCAATAACTGCTACACAAAAACCAGAAACATATAAGTTTATTATATAATTCAATTATATAAACAAGCAATGCTAATCTATAATATTAGAAGTCAGGTTAATACTTAAATTGAGAATGAAAAGTAGTGACCAAAATGGTCCAGGGAGACAGAAGTTTTCTAGGCAGGTTGTGATAACTCAGAACACAAGCAGTAGCTGTCTCTACTTTAGGATCATGTTTAAGATAATTTTAAAATTTTGAGCTACTAGTGTATGTGTATTTATCTTATATATTTCATACTTAAGATTTTGTTTTACAAGGTATATTAACTCTTTTAAAGTTCTAGAAATTAAATAGCAAAATAAGCATGAAACAATGGAGAAAATTCTACGGGTCCTATAGAGTGTGGCCAGGAAAAACCTCTCTAACAAGTATCATTTAAGGGGAAGCTTCAAAAAGATACAGAAGCAAGCCCCACTTTATTGCAAGGAAGAATGCTCTGAAGAGGGAAAGAGGGGACAAAAGGTGTAAAGGAGCGAAGATGCGAATACCATTGGGAGCTTCAAGATTAATCGAAGGCCAGTGTCCCTAGAAAACAGTGTGCCGGGCGAAAGTGTTAGAAGTTGCCAATGCCTGACCATGTCAAATTCTGTAGACCAAAAACAGATTTTATTCTTTTTTTTTTTTTTTTCTATTAAACAGCATGTCGTTCTTTTTTTATTTTTATTTTTTATTTAACTTTTACTTTAGGTTCAGGGGAACAAATGCAGGTTTATTATTTAGGCAAACTTGTGTCATGGGTGGTTGGCATATAGATTATCTCATCACTCAGGTATTAAGCCTAGTACACACTAATTTTTTCTGATCTTCTCCCTCTTACCACCCTTTACTCTCTGCTAGGTCCCAGTGTGTGTTGTTCCCCTCCATGTGTTCATTCATGTGTTCAAATCACAGATTTTACTCCTAATGTGATGAGAATCCAGATGGAGATCTTAATCTGTGGAGTGTCTTAATTTGACATTAGTTTCAAAAAAATTATTCTGGTGACTGAAAGGAAAATACGGTAGAAGACAGATGAGTAGAAGCAGAGAGACTATTTAGAAGGCATGTCAACCACTGAACACAATTAAATGGGCCAGACACAGTGGTTCACACATGTAGTCGCTTCACTTTGGGAGGTGAAGCAGGAGGACTGCTTGAGACCAGCCTGGACAACGTAGCCAGATCCCATTATCACAAGCAAATTTAAAAATTAGCCAAGCAGAATGTTTGAGCTTGTAGTCCCAGCTGCTCAGGAGGCTGAGGTGTCAGGACTGCTTAAGCCCACAAGATCGAGGCTACTCTGAGCCATGATGAAGGCAATATACTCCAGCCTGAGAAGCAGAGCACAACCCTCTCTCAAAATATATGTATATCAAAATGATCACTCTCAAATTGCATTTCTACTATCTTATTTGGAGCACTTCTAGAATGGCTTCTCATATGACTTCATTTTCACCTTAAAAAAATATTTGCCTATGATAAAATTATAATTTAAAAAACAAACTTTCTATGATGACCCAATTTAAAACATTCAATTTCTATGTCAATTCTGTAACGTTCACTTTGAATTATTTGTGTAACATTTTTTAAAGACCTTCCATAGACTTGATATTCTTAGGCAATAAATTTACTTTCTATGTTGGTATATTTATGTTTATCTTTCAGCTATAAACAGAATACTATGAAATTATCAAGAATTCATCATGATCAGCCAATGAAGCCCCTGGATCGGGCAGTCTTCTGGATTGAGTTTGTCATGCGCCACAAAGGAGCCAAACACCTTCGTGTCGCAGCCCACGACCTCACCTGGTTCCAGTACCATTCTTTGGATGTGATTGGGTTCCTACTGCTCTGTGTGGCAACTGTGATATTCATCATCACAAAATGTTGCCTGTTTTGTTTCCGAAAGTTTGTCAAAACAGGAAAGAAGGAGAAAAAGAATTAGTTATATCAAAGGCCTGAAGCTGTAATGACCAAAAACTAGGACTCCTCCAGTTAATTCCAGCATGAAGAGGCTGGAATGGAGGATTTCCTTCCTCCTGTGAGAAAACAACATTTCACAATTGACCCTGTTAAGTCAAAAGCTTATTTTCCAGAGGCTAAGTTGGAAATATTCCAAGTCAAATATTTCAAACCTAGGAAAAATTAAAATAATATAAAATCCTATGAGTTAATATTTAAGGCTATTATTCTAATTCACAAGTGACACAAAAAACTTTACTGAGCTTAACTATATTTTATACATTGTACATGTAAATAACTATATTCAGAAGTTCACTTACAGTGCCAATACTGTTTTGCAAATGCTCAGAATACTTTGGCTTCATTTTGACCAGATTTCTCTTGTTTTTACTGTTGCCAAAGAAACTATTCTATAATTAAATTACATGATATTGCAAGACCAGTAGTATTGCTTGGCTTTTTCTATGTATCTAGACTCAGCATCACTTTTTTTCCTAAAAGACATTACAAGTGTATCCCTCAAATGAAAAATAATGTTCACAATTAACAAATTAATATACCACATTAACAAAATAATGAATAATAAACAATTGTTATCTCAATATATACAAATAAAAGCATTTGAAAAATTCAACGTTTTATGAGTAAAAAAAAAAAAACTTTCAACATCCTAGAAGTATAAGAAAATCACTTTAACATGAGAAATGATGCATATGAAAAGCTCACAGCTAAATTCATACCCAATGACAAAAATATGAAAAGTTTTTATCTAATATCAGAAGCAGGTAATGATACTCACTCTTGTTGTTTCTATTTCACATAGTACTGGAAGTCTGCTAGAACAATTAGGCAAGAATAATAAAAATAAAACAGGCTTCTAAATCAGAAAATAAGTAAAATAACCTCTGTTTGCATATTATATTATATGTGGAAAACTGTAAAGTCTACAAAATACTACTAAAATTAAAACAAATTCAGTAGATATGTAGGATATAAAATTAACATACAAAATTGAGTTATTGTTCAGTATACTAAAAAACAACTACCCAAAAAATCCATCCAAGTTATAATAGCACCAAAAAGAACAACACATATAGGAATAAACTTAAGCAAAAAAAAAAAAAAAAAAAAAAAACTTCTATACTAAAAACTACAAAGCATTATTGAATGAAAGGAAAGAATATATTAATTTGGAGAGATATGTTGACTGAAATCTCTATAAACCTGAAGTGATTTACAGATTCAATGTAATGCCTATCATAATCCCAATGACATTTTCTATAAAAACAAAAAAGATTCTAAAATTTATAATAATCCTAGAAACACTTTATATAACCAAAACAACATGCAAAATGTAGAAACTGCTGAACATATACTCTACCCTTATTTCAAATTATATTTAGAGACAGTGTAATTAAAATAACATGGTGTATTAGTCTGTTTTCACACTTTTATAAAGAACTACCTGAGACTCAGTAATTTATAAGGAAAAGAGGTTTAGTTGACTCATAGTTCCACATGGCTGGACAGGCCTGAGGAAACTTACAACCATGGTTGAGGGCAAAGGGAAAGCAAAACATGGCAATAGGATAGAGAGAGAGAAGGAAATGCCACACTTTTAAACCATTAAATCTACTGAGAATTCACTCACTATCATGACAACAGCATGGGGAAAATTGACCCCCATGATCCAATCACCTCCTACCATGTCCTTCTCTTGACACGCGGAGATTACAATTTGACATGAAATTTGTGTGGAGACACAAAGTAAACCATATTATTCCCACCCCAGTCCTTCTCAAATCTGATGTCCTCACATTGCAAAAATACCGCTATTCCTTCTCAACAGCACCCCAAAGTCTTAACTCATTTCGGTTTTAACAAGAAGGTCTAAGTCCAAAGTCACATGTGAGACAAGGTGAGTCCCTCTATAAAATGAAAAACAAGTTAGTTACTTTCAAGATACAAAGGGGTACAGGAATTGAGTAAATAATGCCCTTCCAAATGGGAGAAATTGGCCAAAACAAAGGATTACAGGCTCTGTGCAAGTCTGAAACCCCACAGGGCAGTCATTAAATCTCAAAGCTTCAAAATAATCTCCTGTGATTCCATGTCTCTCACCCAGTTCACGCTGATGCAAAGGGGTAGGCTTCGATGACCTTTAGCAGCTCTACCCCTGTGGCACTGCAGGGTGCACCCCAGTGGCTGCTTTCATGGGCTGGAATTGAGTGCTTGTGGCTTTTCCAGGTGCACGGTGTAACCTATATGTAAATCTACCATTGTGGTGTTTGGAGGAGTATGGCCCTCTTCTCACAGCTACACTACACAGTGCCCCAGTGGGGAAACTGTGTGAGGACTCCACCCCACATTTCCTTCTGTATTGCCCTAGCAGAGGTTCTCCAGGAGAGTTCTGCCTCTGCCACAGAATTCTGCCTGTACATCCAGGAATTTCTATACATCCCCTGAAATCTGGGCAGAAGTTTCCAGCTTTCTGTGCACCTGGAGAGCCAACACTTCATGCAAGACACCAAAACGTGGGGCTTACACCCTCTGAGGCCATTAAGTGTTTACACTAACACAACGCATACGTTCAAGACATTGCAGGTTTGGTTTCAGATCACTACAATAAAGTAAATATTACAATGAAGTGAGTCACATAATTTTTTTTTAATTTTCCATGGCATATAAAAGTTGTGTCTACACTATACTGTATTCCACTAAGTCTGAAATAGCATCATGTATAAAAATGTACATAACTTAATTAAAAATACTTTATTGCTGAAATATGCTAACAATCATCTGATCCTTAAGTGAGCAGTAATCTTTTTGCTTGTGGAGGGGTCACGATTTCATAAGACAAGAATGATGTTTACTGCACCCAATGATCCATTCTTTCATTTCACAGAAATCATGAAAGATTTCTATGTAGCATGCAATGCTGTTTAATAGCTTTTTACTCTTAGTAAAGATTATTTTAAAATTGGAAGCAATCCACTCAACCCTTACTGCCCCTTCATTAAATAAATTTAAGTAATATTCTAAATTCTTTGTTTTCATTTCAAAAATGTTCATGGCATTTTCACCAAGAGCAGATTTTATTTCAATATACCCCTTTTTTTGGTCATTCACGTAAAGCAACTCCTCATCTATTCAACTTTCATCATTAAATTGAAGCAATTCAGTCACATCTTCAGGTTCTACTTCTAATTACATTTGTCTTACAATTGCTACCACATTTGTTGTTACTTCCTTCATTGAAGACTTGAACCTCTCATCATTATTCTTGATAGTTGGAATCAACTTCCTAAAAATTCCTGTTGACCTCTTCCCATGACTCTCAAATGTTTTTAAGGAAGATGAATCTTTTTCATAATATATTCAGTTTACTTTACTAATATCCAACAGAGGAATTCCTGTCAATGCCAGCTATTTCTTACAGAATGTATTTCTTAAATACAACAACCTAAAAGTTGAAGTTACTTTTGGATCGAGGAGCTACAGAATGAATGCTGTATTAGCAGGCATAAAAGCAATGTTAATTTCTCTGTACATCTCCATTAGTCTTCTTGGGTGACAAGTCCTATTTTCAATGAGCACTAATATTTTGAAAGGAACAATTTTTCCTAAGCAGTACATCTCAAAACTGGGATTAAATATTCAGTAAATTATGCTGTAAACATCTATGCTGCCATGCAAGCTTTGTAGTTCCACTGATAGAACACAGAGTAGATTTAGTATACTCCTTAGGGCCCTAGGATTTTCAAATGGTAAATCAGCATTGGTTTCAACTTCCAGTCACCAACTTCATTAGACTAGTAAAAATTCATCCTGTTCTTTGAAGATTTGGAGCTAGGCATTGATTTTTCCTCTGTACCTATGAAATTTTCGGTGGTATCTTCTTTCAATAGGAAGTTGTTTTTTCCACATGGAAAAGCTGTTGTTTAGTGTAGCTACCCTCATTAATTATATGAGCTACAACTTCTGAATAACTTGTAGAAGCTTCTTTATCTTCCACTTTTATTTTGTGGAGATGGCTTTTTGCCTTAAATCTCATGAACCAACTTCCACTAGATTGAAACATTTCTTCTGCAGCTTGCTTACACGTTTCAGAATTGCAAAGAGTTAGGGCCTTGCTCTGGTTTAGGCTTTGACAGAAGAAAATACCTTCACTGGTTTTATCTTTAATTCAAATGATTAAAACTTTCTTCATATTGGCAATAAGGATGTTGCACATTCTTATTTTTGGTATATTTTGGTGTAGCACTTTTAATGTCCTTCATGAACAGTTTATTTGTATTCGAAATTTGGCTGTTTTTTACAAGTATGGCTTTTGCCCTATTTCAGCTTTATACATACCTTCATCATTAAGCTTAATCATTTCTGGTTTTGATTTTAAGTGAGAGACATGAGGCCCTTCCTTTTCCTTGAACATGTAGAAGCAATTTGTAGAATTATTAATTTGCTAATTTTAATATTGTTGTGACTCAGGAAATAGGGAAGCCTGAGGAAAAGGAGATAAATGGGAAACGGTTGGTGGAACAGTCAGAATACCTGCAACACTTATCAGTTGTTTACTATATTACACGGATGCATTTTGTGATGTCCCTCAAACAATTACAATGGTAGCATCAAGAAAGAAAATATTTAGAAATCTGCTAGAAAAACATTAGACTGCTAGATAAAGAAAGATTTCAGGATACATAAGCAATAAACAAACAAAAAAATTATATAACTGAAGTGAAAAATCAAAACTGAAATTGAGAAAACAATCATACTTCAAATAATCACAAAAAACATAATTTTAGGAACAAATTTAACAAAAAAGTGTACTTCTTGCATTATGAAAATTGCAAAACAATGTGGACAGAAATGGAAAAGATCTAAATAAATGGAAAGACATCTCATGTTCATGAATAAAACCCTGGTGTTTTTGTAATGACGATACTCTTTCTCCAAATTCATATACAAATTCAGTACAATTTCTGTTA